CTAGGAACGTAAGCAACCTGCACCCCCCTTTGCGGGTGCAGGTTGCTTACGCTCCTAGATTTTGGGAGCCTCAAATTTTTTGGCTTCGTGGAGGCCGTAAGAATCCAACATAAAAATAGACTAGGGGTTGCCAGATACCCTGATTTGTATGGGTTTCGGCTGCTAGGGTTTAGACTTTCGGGCTTGGGGTTTAATGTAGCGTGTGGGTTGAGGCTTCGGGGTCAGGGGCGTAGAGGTTTCAGGGCTGGGGTTTCGAGTGTCGGGCTTGGGGTTTAGGAGCTCGCGTAATGCTGCCTTTTTCAGAGAACTCCCTGCGGATCTGGACTCAAGCCTTTCCCGCCTCTTTCTGTACCTTGCGTAGGAGGTCGACCAGGCCGTCGCCTCCTCGGGATTGAGGGTGGGGTGCCTACGAGTACAGTCTCCGAGTATTGGACCCGTGACCCCATAACCCAGGAAAGCTCGCACATATTCAATACTTAAGAAGACCTGTATGTAAGTCCACCCAATGTTTCAGACAGTCTAGTCCTCCACCCTCGCCACCAGGATGGACGTCACCGTCCTCTTCTCCCCCGTTGCCCCCGTCGGGTCCAGCACCGCCTTCACCGCCGCCTGATTGTTTTTATGAGCCGCAAATCTCAGTTTTGCAGGGCCCAGGGTTTAGTAGGGTCTACTAGGCTTCTGGTGAAAGGGTGTTTAAGAACAGGGACATCTGAGCCGCCTGATCCCGCTCCGCTCTGATCTCCACCTCGAGCGCGGCCTTTGCGTCCGCGTCGCCCACGGCCCTCTCCATTGCCACGGCCTGTTCCCCGCCCCCTACCCCTTCCTCGTCCGCCCTTCCGCAGACCCTTGCCACCTTGGCCTCCTGCGCCCTTTCCCTCGCCGCCCTGTCCCCCGGACTGGCCCTTCTCCCCAATCTCAGCGGCCATCATCGACTCGAACAGCGGAGAAGACTCGTCCGCCATCAACTGGTACACGCGATCGATGATCCTCTCCTGCAAGCGGCTCTGGTGCACATCGTTGTTGCAAAGGCAAATGTAGTGACAGCCTTGCATTATGCACGCCACAGCGCAGTTTTCGTTCTGCGGGGTGAGGTCTGTCAGGGAGAATGCTGAATACGCGTGCACAATCTCTCTCCAGAAATCCACGGAAGCCCCATGCCAGGAAACAGGCTCTTCGCTCATTGGATCTCTGCGTCCGCCTGCAACTTGATCGCCCCCTGGTGGCGTTGGTCCGCCTGCATCCCTCAAGGTGTCCCCCAGGATTTCTTTCTTTTCGCAAAGCGGCAGCACCCACTCCACCGTCTTGTCCGTCGGGTCCTGCTCAGTCGAGGGTCCAGGGTTCGACAGGTGGGACTAGGCTCAGTGGTCATGCGTCAATCAAGCGTCAGGACTACATGTGAACAGAAGCCGATGTCCCAAAAGCAGGAAAGCTTTATAGGGGCTTGGATTTATGATTTATGTTCAGGGTTGAGGTTCGGAGTCAAGTTTGAATGTATTCTGTACACAACAAAGATCTGCCAGCCTCGAGCTTGACAGGCCCCAGGTGGTTGAACCTGTTGCAGCCATTCTCGCCAATGCTCAAACGTTTGCGTAGCGGCAGGGTGAGCGATTTTGCCGTAAACACGTGCGCCTGCTCCATGACGTCAAGTTCGATATCGTGCTGGCGGGTGCGCGTGCGCCTGAGCATCGTCGCCTCATCATACGAAACATAGAGGATCTTTTTCACCCTGGGCATCCGCTTGTTTCCCCCGTTGAATGCCTTCTCAAACACGTTGGCATTCTCGTGTTTGAACGCGTCGAGGAACATGTAGATACTCTCAGGCGTGATGCTCAAAGAGTCTTCATCCTCCGCCTCCTCCTGGCCTTCCCCGCAACGGGCTCTAAGGCACGAGCGGGTCGCCGACATCATGTATGCAGGACGGTTTTGAGGGTACCGCACATGGGGCCTGTGCTTTGATTCTCCTTCGGTCTTGGAGTCGTACACGTGGAGGTGGTGAAGGCCCTCTGGAATCGGCATCTTGTAGGTGGTGGACTGCCACAGCAACTTTGACATGACGTCAGCACTGCTGTTGGCCGGCCGAATCAGCAGCTCGACGCGCTGGCGCACTTTGTCACGTGCCATGCCCCTCCAACGCGCCAAAGCCTCGGCCTTTTCTGGGTCAATCGGGTCCATCTCCTCGTCGGCACCGTCCACATCAGGGGGATCCACTGCATCTTCCTCTATGATGACAGCATCTTCGACGGCAGCGGCCGCGCTGACTGCTAGCGCCTGCTGGCAATCTTGCAAAGTCTGTGTGGCCGTTCCCAGGGTGCCGTACCGCAGCCCGTCTGGCGGCAGCTTACCCTGCTTGATGCATTGTCTGATAGTGGTGTCGCGCAGCTTGTCAAACACAATGGCATCCACCAAATTCACGAATGCAGCCTGGGTTATTTTCACGCGCACAGCAACAGGGATGCATTATCCCGGACCCGACACTCTTCATGATCAACTGGAGGGGTTCAAGGGCTTTGGCTCAAACTCGGGTTCAGGAGCTTTGGCTTTGGCTCAAACTCTCTAAGCCTCAATACTCTCAACCCGCAGCCCCAACCCCATACCTTGAACCCTACAGCCCTAAACCATAAAACCTAAGCTTTAAATGCTAAAACCCTAAACTTTAAAACCTAGACCCTAAACCCTACAACCCCAAAGCTGCCAGCACCTCGATACTCTCAACCCGCAGCCGCAGCCCCAACCCCATACCTTGAACCCTAAAGCCCTAAACCATAAACCTAAGCTTTAAATGCTAAAGCCCTAAACCTTAAAACCTAGACCTTAAACCCTACAACCCCAAAGCTGCCAGCATAGACACGTTCAGCTCGGGAAGGAGGCTCAGCCACATCTTGGGCTCCCCGTTCTTGAATCCACAATGCTCGCGATATGAAGCATGACAGCGAAGCTTCAATCGAATGTCTGCCGCGTCGGTGGCAGGGATGTTGAGATTCGTAAGCTCCGTCTGCAATAGTTCCTGCAAAAGGTCGTACTTGTAGGAGAGCACCTCCACCGGGTTGATCTTGCCGGGAGTTGTCAACTGGTACTTGGCCACGTCTGGTTTCTTGAGAATGCCTGCTCGGGCTCCGTCCAAAATACCATCAAAGATCCAGGCCAACTTGCTGCCAGGAGCCTTCTTGCAACTCAAAGTAATGAAGTACAACTGGTACACGGAACTGAAGACGCTGTCGTGGCCAAGCTCCACCTCTGCTGCCTGGATCGTGCTCAAAATGCTTGGGTTGGCTTCGATTTTGTTCCAGAGGGCAAACGCATTCTCGAGGAAAGTGATGGAGGGTCTCTCGCTTTCCACTGACCAGTGACACGACTCGAAGTACTTGTGCACCTGCTCCGTTGTTGCCTTGCCCTTTGGCCCTTTCATCTCTTTGCGCTTCTGAACAACGAGAATCAGCATGCTCAATGGAGTTCTCTTGATCGACAGCCGATCATCCACTGCCTTTTCTCGGATCGTGATCGCTTCCTTCTGATAGTCAGTCGGGTTGTCGCGCGACAGGACCTTGTAGGTGACATTCAAGAGCAGGCGTTTGTATTGCTCAATGTCTTCCGCGCTTTCTGCTTGGGAGGCAGCCACGATCAGCGCAAAAACGGGTTCTTCCGGGGAAATCCTTTTCCACTTGCCGGCATTCGAGAGGAGGGTATCATCGAAGCCTTCTGACACGATGGTAACCTCAAATGGAACCTCCGTCGGCGGCCCCTGCGCATAATGGGTCGTCATCTGCAGCCGAATGCCAGCGCGGTTCACAGGTGTTGTTGGCCATGGCCTCCAGCGAAGGTCGTGCAGGAAAAGCGTGCCTGTGAACCTGACAGTGCCGCCGTTGCCCAAGCTTGCCGAACATGCCACTTGGTTGAAGACGGCTCCTGATCCGCCATCGTAGACTGTCAGGGCACTCTGCTCCTGGATTCCATCGTACTTCGCGAAGAGCTTTTGCAGCGCTTCCTCAAACTCGGCGTGGAACGCCGCATTGATGCCCTGCGCAGGATCATCGGACGATCCCGCAGGCTCAGCAGGAGCTGTGCGCTGATCTGCGATCCGAACCAGGACGCCGTCGTCTGCATCTTCTAGCCGAGCTCCACGCTTGCCTAAGTACACGAGCTCGATTCGTTATGGCTCTGGAGGGGTGAAGGGTTTGAGAGTGGAACTTCTTAGTTTGGGTTACTTAGGCTTAGGGTGTACGGGTTCAGCTTAACCTTAACCCTCGAACCCCTTCCCTGCAAGATATCTAAGATTCGATCTGATCGACAGAAACGACATGCACCGGGAAGGAGCCGCCAGCTTACATCTTCCCTAGAACCCGCACGCCCCTCCTCCCAAACCGCTTCACCCTAAACCCCTAAGCCCCTAAACCCCTAAACCCGAACACACACATCCAAGGACTAGCTGCGATCGCTGCCCCTCGAATTCGCATCTTCTAGCTGCGCAGCTCCACGCTTGCCTGAGATGGGATCTCGTTCGTTTTATAGCACAGTGGAAGTCAGGGGGACCAGAGCTGTTTACGGGAGTTTGGTTATTAGGGTCTGAAGGATCCGTGACGTAGACCACTCCATCGCTCTCGGCCTGATACTGTTTGGCACTCTACTCTGCGCGTTGCAAGTTGCGCACCCCCAATCAGGGGGGATTGCGTAGTCTAATTTAGAAGGGCTAAGAAGATTTTAGGAGGGTCTAGCGTGGTTTAGGCGTGACAAAGTCGGAAAATAGGTAAACTCAAATCACATTCCAAAGGACGCCCCGAAGGCGCCCGCGTCCCCTGGCCCAAGCATATTATTAATGAAGGTTTGAGGGACCCTAGAGCCGGTAGTCTTCGCGAGTCCTACTCAGAGCTCCGAAAGCTGCCTGAACCCTAGTCTTTGGAGGCCCCAACAGCAACAACAGCTAAGCCGTGAAGCCCCTGTGTAGTTTTACGGTCTAGGGGGTAACGAAACAGGGTGCTTCTTGTTTAGGGTTCAGGTTTTCAAGGTAGGGCTTTATGAAGTTTAGGGGTTTAGGTGTCTGGGCTTTGTCGTGCTTATTTCGTCTATCGAGCCTAAGAAAGCTCAGTATGGTCTCCGATCCAAGCCACCCATGGTGCCGTCGCAAGGGAGACTGCTACACTGTAGGCCAAAGGATGGCTTGCAAGAAGCAAACTCAGTGAACACTGCAGCGGCCCTTGACCCAAGCGCTGGTGTATGCTACTAGATGCAAGGCGGAGCCTTCCATAGAAGATTCCTGACCGGCCCCAGAACGACAGCTAGGGATGCCTGGCCTAAAAAGTCTCCCAACCAGCCAACCCTAGGGAAGCCGGATCCCAAGAATCACAGCCTTCCAGGACAGAAATCTTCCATGGAAGATTTGTCCTAGGGACTCTTTGTTTCAACCAGTTCTTGGGTCAGGCATCGGACTTGTCATGATGGCAGGCAGGTGTAGATCAGGGGAGCTGTGCCGCCCAAAGCCCCGAAACCTCGAAACCTTTAAACCCTCGACCGCGTACAACCCCGCAAAAGGCAGTCCCCCAAACCCCAAAGCTGTAAGCCCAGAAACCCTTACATGCTAAACTTAACCCAAACCCCTAAACTTCCTGGACCCCCCGAACCCGCTTAAGGCCTATAGACCGTACACCCTAAAATAAACCGTGACATCCCTGAAAGCTGGGACTGATCGATCCATGGCCCGGGGTGCTCCACATAGGTATTTCTTGCAGACTTGCCTCTGCCTCCGTAACAACAATACAATTCAAACTCCAAACCTTTTTTTCATCTTCGACCCCTTAAACCCAAAACCCCGAAACCCAGAGCCCAGAAACCCTACAATGCCTAAACCGATAGACCAAGAATGCCTTGACGTATCGCAGCGGTCCCCAGGAGTGAGCGGGCGGCCTGGGCGATGAGCGCGTCAAGGCAAGGCCCCACCAGCTCCAAAGCCTGAGTCAACGGGCCCCGGCTCCGATGGGGTGGCCCTGGGTCTCCTAAACCTTAACCCTAAACCCTAAAAGGATTTAGGAACTACGAGGTAGGGAGAAGTTTCGGGTTTGGAGTCCCGGGGCCCAAACCCGAAGCCCAAATCCCTTTAAGTGCGAGAGGCTTTGCGGTCTGCTGCATTCCACCGCGTTGGCATCCCTACCACAATCCCAGGTATTCGCATCTACCGCTCAGGGTTTAAGGCTAAGGTTGGCAATATTAAAACCCTAAACCCTAAACCCTAAACCCTAAACCCTGAACGAACCCAAAAGCGGGGAACCCAGGCCCGGCCCAGGGATGGAGTGGAGAGCTCTGTGTGACTTTGGCGAACCCGAAACCCCAACGCCGACCTTGGCGCAGCAATACGACGCCCAGTCCCAGGCCACGTGGATCTGGGTTTAGGGAGTTTGGGGTTTAGGGTTTGGGGCTTTTTGGGTTTAGGGAGTTTGGGGTTTGGGGTTTGGGGCTTTTTGGGTTTAGGGTTTAGGGTTTTTTGGGTTTAGGGTTTAGGGTTTTTTGGGTTTAGGGTTTTGGGGCTTTTGGGGTTTGGGGTTTAGGGCTTTTTGGGTTTAGGGTTTAGGGAGTTTTGGGTTTAGGGTTTAGGGAGCTTTGGGTTTAGGGTTTAGGGTCAAGAAGAGCTCAAGTCTGTAAGACTAGGGTTTGCGTGGTAGATTATCGTATTCTAGGGGGTCCAATGCGGAAGCCCCAGTGAATAGCACTGCTAAATCTACTTCTGCTTGCCATAGGGTCATAGGGGCTTGAACAATTGAGGGATTCGACTGGGGCGTCAGGGTACGCTATCTATCGTTATACTACAACGAAATAGCGACTGGCAGGAAATAGTATTATGAGTGACCAATTGGTCTCGCCCCGATGTCAACACTTGTCATATTACGGCATACTAGCCCCGGATACAGCACTTGAAAACGCTTCCGGTCTGATGGACCCATTTGCCGGCAGCATCGAAGCCACAGAGACCTGTAGAGCCCCTACCAATCAGCCCAGGCTCAAACCTGCTCCAGCTCGAAACCCTCAATCCTAAACCCTCAACTTACACCCTAACATCTAAACCTCTGAACCTGGAGTCTTGCGGCTGAAGTGCAGAAGGTTTTCCCACCGTTGAGGCAAAACCCTGATTCCTAAACCGTGAACCCTAAACCCTAAACCTCTAAGCCCTGAACCTCTAATCCCTAAACTCGAGGCTCCCAAAATCTAGGAGCGTAAGCAACCTGCACCCGCAAAAAAGGGTGCAGGTTGCTTACGTTCCTA